TTCTGGAAGCAGTTAATGTGCAGAATAAAACATATGGTATAGCTCTTTTAGCGTATGGATTAAATTGACACAATAGGTGAAGGTTTTACATCTTGAATAAAATATTTTACAGGAGAACCAGGCTACCTGAGTGGCTACATTTATCTGTCAGGTGACTTAAAGATGTAGCAGCTTCCTTCTTAGTTGCAAATGTGCTATGGCTGACCTGTATTAAAAACAGAGAAGAATGCCCTGAGTCTTTTCAGATTTGGAGAATTATCTACCAATTATTATTTATACAATTTGAACTTGTATATTTCTTACTAAAAATTCCACAAGGAGAAAGAATCCCGTTGTTTGTCAAGGTAACATTTAAATTTATTCCACACTGTGTTTTAAATATGAAGTACATACTCATGTTTTTTAGATTTAGGTCTATAAAACATCAATTGTTGTAACAAAAGATGTTCAAGGGGTTGCGGTTGTGGCTCAGTGGTAGAGTGCTTCCCTAGTATGTGGGAGGTACTGGGTTTGATCCTTGGCATCCCTTAAAAATAAATAAATAAATAAAGGTATTGTGTCCATCTACAACTAAAAAAAATTTTTTTTAAAAGAAAAGTATTTCAAAATGAAAAGGATACTTAAGTTTCCATATGCCCTGGGAAGAATTTAAAATGTAGCTTCCCCCCCACACCCCTTTAATTCAGTAATTAACTAAACATGCCCAGTAGTTTGGGGGGACTATAATAGTTTACACCTGTTTCAACTTGTGCTGTTTTTTCTGGCAGCGGCTTTTGCCATCCCATATTTCTTGTGAAGCAGAAATATGAAATGAAATATGGAAAAGCACTAGAAATTATAATAAACATAAAAATGAATTGTTCAGCTTCAAATGTGAAAGGCTTCACCTGCACATTTAGCCAGCCATGTTTCAGTAGTATTGAAGTAATTTAATCCTGGTGCTCTGTGTCATAAAAACAAAGACAATTGCTTGTATTGGCAGGGACAATCCCAGGTTTTTAAAATTCAAGTGGGTAAACTTTGGAACATCAGACAGAAGTCATATTGTAAAGACGGTTTAAAAAACCTGCAACATCATCGTGTGTGTTCATGTTATTGTGGGATGAAAGAGATGAGAGACTATTTTGCTTAAAAGATTGCCAAAAGACCAGTAGAACTGTTTTACTACAGACTATAATCAGACTTCAAATGTCAAGGAATACCATGCCTTGAAGTATAGGTTGGCATATTTCACAGGCAACATTTTGCCATCCAAATGTAATGAAAAGGAAGTGATTTGAGTCTAAATATTATCATCTCTCATATTTCTTTTCTTGTAACTCAAGTATCCAGTGGTCTCCCTAGAATACCCTTTATTCTGCAGGTCTAACAGTAGCTGTCCAGTTCTACCACTGGGTTGAGAGTAAAATGAGTAGTTTTTTAGGGCATTGTCCAGAATAAGAATAGCAAAATTAAATTCATGGTAAATTTAACTTGGATGAAGTTGTTACTGTGAAAAGCTCATTTTGGCTGTCTCTCTCTAGTTGAGTAGCTTTGACTATTATATGGGTAAGGGTTGTAAGTTGAAAGAGTGTAGGGACTTGGCTCTCTCTCTTCATTGGTACAGGACCCAAATGTTTGTGTAATAAAAGAGTGAATTGCTTTCTTTTTTTTTTCCCCTTGATCTGTAAAATTAACCTTTTTAATGTCTAGGTTTATACTGAGAAAAATATTTGCAATGCTTTAGTCCCCCAATCCCTCACTTTCATTTCTTATAGGAATTTTTATTTTCGTACTGAAGGATTTAGAGTATGTTTGAGAATAAGAATGAGACTCTCAGCTTTGGACACAGAAGGATCCCTGTTTGATCATGTTTGATTGTTCCTTACCATCAGTAGAAGTTCTTCAGGAGACCTACTGTCCTGGCAATAAAATAAGGATGCTTTCTCGGAAGTGCCAGTGACTGGGACTAACCATAGTTAGCATATGAAACAATAATCTAACCAAGAGTCCAACTCCTTGTCTTCTACTGGGACCCTTAGGATCCCAGGAAATATGCACATCAAAATTTAAGAAAAATCAGGTTCAGACCTGGAGTTACTTACACAGTAGACTTCTCGTATCTGCAGTTTCACTTAACTTTGAACAGTGGTGGGATGAAGATATTAAATGGGAAGTTCCAGAAATATATAATTTTAAATTTTAAATTACGTGCCTTTCTGAGTGATGTGATGGGGTCTAGCTTTGTCCTGCCTGGGGTATGAGTCTTCCGTTTGTCCAGATTATATACATTGTATGCCCTACCCACCTGGTACCTACTAGTACCTACTACTCACTTAGTAGCCATTTCAGTCTTCAGATCAACTGTCACAGTTTTCACAGTGCTACACTGTGTCCAAGCAACTCTCCTGTAGTAACCTAACACTACATCTGTGTCATTCCTCACTTCATGTCATCAACTAGGCATTATATCATCTGATAACATCACAGGAAGAAAGATGAGTGCAGTATAGTAAGATATTTTGAGAGAGAGACAGAACATGTTCATTACAACAACGCTGTAATTCATTGCAGTATTATAATTCTTTTTAAAATCAGTATTTATTGTTAATCTTTTACTGTGCCTAATTTATAAGTTAAACTTTATCATAGATATGTATGTAAGAGAAGAAAGCATACATAAGATTTGGTAGTATCTGTAGTTTCAGGCGTCTACTAGGCATCGTGAAGGGTATCCCCTGTGATAAGGGGGTTCTACTGTACATTAACCCTTGGAATAAAAAATTTCAAATTTTTGTTGCCAATGAGTATGCTGTTTCTGGCTTTCTGCCCTTCCATTCCTTTACAAATCAAAAGCTTGCTAGAGGTGTGGGTTTCTGGTTAAACGTTGAGTGTTTTTTTTTCTTGGAACATAGTTAATTATAGTTTGGGTCTAACTAAAGAAAATTTCCCCTTTTTATTCATGCAGAGATTAAAGGGCCATTCTGTGAAGTATCTCTGGTGTTTTGATGGACATGGAATGAAGGAGATGTTTGTTGTGTGGCATTGGGGAGTGAGCCCAGGATTTCATGTGTACTAGGCAGGTGCTCTGCACTGAGCTACAGCCCGAGCCCTTGAGGAGCCCTTTGAGGTTGTGAATTATAATGAGTTTGTCATGAGCAAAATAAGTGTCCTAAAGGAGATTTCTGTAATGGAAGGTAATTGTATCTTGAAATCTAAACTGATGAATTCTAAGTTGAGAAGGAGTTCCTGTGATAAAGGGAGTAATTATTTACTTTGCAGATAGACCTTGCAGAATATCTTTAATTGTGAAAATTTCAAAGATGAGGTTCCTTGAAGTCACTGGATATATATTTTTGCTAAATCTTCATGACTTTGCTACTTTCACTGCCAAGTCACTGTAGGTATCATTCAGTACAGTCCTTTTTTTAGCTATTTTTAACCTTAGAACAACCCAAGAGCTAGCTGAGCTGAAGGGCCCCTTGGCACTTGTTATGAGGTTTGGGTCATTCGGTTTGGGTATGGAGTTTTTATCTTGCCTTGGTGGCCCCCTTCTGCTAGTGTTGGTACATTTGCCAGTTTGTTTAGTGGTTTAATGTCTTACGTGTTTTTTAAAGCTTTAATATTGATACATTGCCAAGTTTTAGTGAAAACCATAGTTTGTTGAGTAAACTTCAAAGGATTTTATTTGTGGAAATGTATGACTCAACTGGTCCATAATCAACGTCTGTGCTCAGTTCATTGTTGATTGTGTGGAATTTGTGCAAAAAGAAAAGGTTACAAAGGTATTATAGAAGGCGTCTTATATTTAACTGTGAAATTTGAGTTGGTGAAAAAAGAATTTAAATTTTAATACTTGTTATTTCTTTGAGGGCAGAGAGAATTTCTTTGGGTTTTGAGTTCTTTACCTAGCATATCAGATTTATAGTAGGTACTTGTCAAAATGTGCCAAGTGGCAGGTATGATACTTAAGTGATTGATCTTCCACACTTCTTGGGTCTTTAATCATTTTAACATGGGTCGTGAGCACACACAAGTGCACACTTACACTTCCCTGCTGCGTTGTTGACCAGCAGGCTTTTGGGTTACCATGGTCTTCTAGACTTTGATTGCCCGAAGTTCTTGTCCAAGGTCCTTTCTTATCTTTGCCAGGAGTTGGCTCCTCCATTTAACTCCAGTTCCACCTTATACCTGAATCAGAGTTCTATTTGGGTTTTGCCCCTGGATCCAAGCAGTCTGAGGCAGTTGCAGCAAGATGGTGTTGGCTCTTTGTTTCTTCTCTCCTCTTAGATTTCCTACCCTCACCAAAGATGAATGAAATATATCCAGAGTCACAGATTTTTTTCTTTTTTTCTTTTTTGACATTGGGCAGAGCACTGGGTTTGTCCTGAATTTATAGGTTACCATTTAGATATAAAAATGTTGTTCAAATGTAGTAACCTTTTTATTAATCTCATGGGAAGTTGGTTGTTGGCTGTGATCTTCAGTATCATTACTACCTCATTCTCACGTTGTGTTGTTGCTCACTTTGTATATGTGAATGAAGGAATGAATTAAAATAGTACAGAATGGCAGTGAAATCCAAGCAGGGTATATAGTCATGGTGAAGCATAAAACTGAAAGGGCTCCGCAGTAGGCCACATTGGGTGAGCCACCTGTTGGCAAAGCAGCCTTCCACCTGTTATCCATTACAGATAGGAAGTGCTTGGAGCACTGGAGCTGATGACTTCCTTCATTGTGTTTGTTCAAATATTCCTTCTCAATGAAAGGATGAGATCACTTTCCTCTCTGTGGAAATAGAGACTTGGGAGTTTTTTGAATCTTTATGTAACCTAAAGCTGTGCAATTGATTGGAATTTGTGTTTTATTGTTTATCAACTTTGCATCCTGATGAGGCACTGTGCTTTGGGAGAGCAGGGTGTCCTGTTCACCTTCGTCCTCTCCTACCTGATACCCAAGAGTTTTTGAATACATAAATTGAAAAGAGAAAGTATTTTAAATGTATACATTTTTATTTACAGCTGCAGCTGAAGGAAAAGGCAGAAGTGGGGAAGACTTTTTTCAGAAGGTAAGTTGTGTTTTATTCTTACCTTGGGGATAAGTAAGGGGACATATCCCCATCTCAATAGCTGCTCTGGAGAGCCCTGAGAGATCCCTTTCCCTGTGAAGGAGAATGGGTTTGGATAATTTAGCCGAAAATAGTGCAAGCAGGGTAAGGGAGGGATGATGTATGGAACTTGATCATTCTAAGAAGGCTCCATCTGGGGCAAATCCAATGAAGGTTTTGTTTGAAAGCGAGAAGTCAGTGAGGCCATCCAGATCAGTTTCTCACACAAAAGTCAGCAGTGTTGTCCTGATTATCTGCTTTTGTTGCTACCTTATTTCCTCCTCCCCTAAACAACGTGTTTGATTTGGAATATAGAGAGGAATCCCTAGCAGCTTGCCTTATTTCTGGGCGGGAAACTGTAATCAATAAAAGATACTTGCTCATGACTGGTCACTGTGTCCATTCTGTTCCTGCTGTCCCCTGAAAGTTCAGACCTTCAATGAAACCAGTTGGGCCAGCCACATGTTGCCAGGGGAAATGAGAGCTGACTCTGTTTGAAAAACGATGACAAGAAATCATGAAGGGTAGTTGATGTTTCTAGCACCATTTCTCAAAATGAATGTTTTATACAAAGAAACAATGCCTATCCTTTTGAATTCACATTCTTCTTACTTTTGTTCATTTGGGTTTATGATATTTGTATCCTTGTGTTGGGACCCTGAAGGTGTGTCCATGCAGGTATTCTGCAAGGGATGCAAAGACTGAATGATGAGCCTAAATAGCGCTTGAGAATGTCATCAGCCCTTTGCAAAACACCTATGTGGAACCGCCGTAGGTGCCTGTTTTTACAGATGTCTTCTTTTTCCTGCCTTCTATGAGGTCTGTTTTTTTTGGGGGGGCGGGGTCAACTTCATCATTCATCTACATTTCCTTCCAAGAGTATTAAAGACAAATATTGTCAGAGCTGATGCTTCTATTGTCATTTCTTGGTTTTAAAAGTATTTATTCACTACTTGGTATGTGCTACACACTGGAGAGACCAAAATGAGCCAAGCACAGTTCCTGCTCTGATGGAACATGAGGTGTCTAATGACATAGACACATAAATGGACAGTAGGATAATCTGTGGCTTTTCAGAGAGGCATCAGCACTTGCCTGAGATTTTAGAAGATTAACCAGGGCCTCTTCATGTCTTTTTAGAAGAGTAGAAGTTAACCAGGCTAAGAGATAGGTTTGAGTGGATTGGAAAGGGTATTTTAGGCAAAGAAGCAGAATGCCAGGAGGTTCCGAGGCGGATGAGTTCATGCAGCACTACCCTTCAGACATTTGACTGGCACACTATCTGTGCAGGTTTATGGTGCTAGGTGGGGGAGGGTAGGCTGTGCTGGATGATGAAGTAAGAGCCTTCTTTGAAGGGGAAGATCTTTCCTAACGAGATTTAAATTAAAAAAAAAAAAAAAGAGTAGTGCTGTTGGCCACATAGGATATGCCAGAATATCAGATTCCTACTCCTTCTTTAGGCACACGCAGCTGAAGTTCATGTACTGTGCATGGAACCCCTGGCATGGCATTATCAGACAGTGGTTAGTGTCCACCTTACCTTCAATACCTGGGCCTTTAGCTGGGGCAGGCTTGGCAGCAAAGGTAAGACAAGACAGATGGCAGGAACCATAGATTTGCCTCTGGTCGGTGAATAGACAATATAATATTTTCCCTGGAAAGGGTTTTCTCTTTGTTCTTTTTAAATTCACCAATAGATATAAAAAGTGTACCATTCAGCTTCATGTGCTTCAGACATTTTCAAAGTTGGATCAAAATCTGTTAGATATGGTCATAAAGGACTCTTATTCTTCGAAGATTTTCTAGTATTTATCACCCTTTGTGGAGCCACATAGACATTCCAGCAGTTCAAGTGGAAACACATGTTTGAATCCAGCAACATCATGTGCCTCCCATGAACTACGAGTTGGACACATGGATTCTATTCATGGTCACAGGTTGGTGAGTTCTGTGAATAAACTGGAGTAATTTTTATCTTCTCATTTTCTTCTTTAGTTCGGTGGGAAGTATCTTCTTGATAGACAGGTGTCCATATAACATTTGTGTACTCACCTGGAAAAAAACCTGTAGCTTAATAAAGCTGGAAGCAACTCAGATTCCAGAAGTGTAATCTGATGTTCTGACCAGGCAGAGTGGACATCATGGTTCACCTGTGTTCAAGTAGTAGAGAAGAGTTGAGTTGGAACTGTGGCCTCATCACATGGTTTCACATGATAGCATTTTGGGAAACATATAAGATATAGGCCATATTGATGCTCATTAGCATCTTTGAAGAAATATATTTATCCTCCCAGAGTAATGCAAATATAAAGGATCTAAACATTTATTATTGGAATGCTTTTTGCTTTTGACTCTGGGGTGTGTGTAATAAAAATTAAAACCTCTGTGTACCTGGATGTCAAGTTCTGCACCTTAATGATTTTAAAAACTTCTTCAGCTCTGGAAGGGTCCTTACCCTGTTTTATAGTGTCTCTTTCTAAGGTAGAGATTGGAGGATGGTGAGATTCTATATATTATTTTGTTTTTTTTTGTATCATAAAACATATGTAAAATCATATCAGCATAATTATACTAATTAAAGTATGCTAAATTCAATTAGAATAATTATTCTCATTTAAGTTTTCAAATAGAAAAAAATTAAATCTCTCATTCAGAATAAACATTTGTATATTTTCATAATTTGAATTTCAGTTTAAAAAATAGTAAGATTTTCAAATATATTATCTTAAATTTAGAGCTATAATATAAGTGAGTGTTCAGTTTTCTATTCCTGGAACTTCTTCCAAAAAGTTAAAATTACTGTTTCTTACAGAGATTTATCCCCATTTCTACATACCATTTCCCTGACAGGCTACCCCTGACACTCTATTAGAGTAAAAGGATAATAAATAAGGTGGTATAGACAAGAAACCCAACAACATAATGACCTGAAGAACAGTCTTTTTTTTTTTTTTTTTTAACTGTCATGTAACATTCTAAGAGGAATTCCATCTTAGTGGTATCTTTGTCCCCTGCTTTCAGTTCCAGAGGCCCATGTTCCTTCTGTGATGTGTCAGGACTGTTCCTTGTGGCATGGCCTTTATCTCTGTGTCTGATGGGGGTTCACTTCACATCCAGATGTGAGCAGGTGAGAGGAGGAGAGAGCAGAGGGGAGGCACGCCACGGTCCTAAGCCAAGGCTTGGGAATGGCAGGTGTTACTTCCTCTCACATTCTGTTAGAGAAAACTTAGTGAACTAGCTGCAGAAGTGAGAGGGAAGGAGGACCTGGGGCATCTGGAGAAATGGATTTGATGTGTACTGTTCACCAAATGCCAGCCTGTTAAGAAAAAAATATGTAGTCACAGTGTGAATGTGTTTGTGTGGTATACTTTGAAACTTTTTGTTTATTAGGGCTACAATGCCACAAACTGTCTTACCCATGGAAATGTATTGTTCCATAGTTCTGGAGGCTGTAAGTCCAAGGTCAAGGTGATACTGTATAAAGGCTATGAGAGAGAATTTGTTCCATGCCTCTCCAGTGATGAGTTGCTGGTAATCTTTGGTGTTTCTTGGCTTACAGAAGCTTCACCCAGATCTCAGCTTTCATCTCATTGTCTCAGTGTGTATGTCTGTGTCTAAATTACCTCTGTAAGGATATAGTTCATGTTGGATTAGGAGGTCCACCCTACTTTGCTATAGTCTTATTCTTACTTATTACATCTACCCTGATTCGATTGCCAAGTCAAGTCACATTTTGAGGCCCCAGGGATTAGGACTTTAGCACATGAATTTTTTTTTTCAGTTATAAACACACAGAGATTTTTTTATTGCCATTGTTCATCTTTTATGGATATCTCCTGTCTCCCCCTTATGCAGAGTTGTACATATTGTAGCACATGAATTTTTGGAGGACATAATTCAGTCAATATCTCACTTTAATGGAGGAAATAATTCTGTAGAAAAAATTAGTATAATTAGAAAAATTTACTAAAACTGTGATGAATTTTATTTATCACATTTGGATATTTAGTTTAATCTGTAGATTTTAACTCCCTAATCATTTATACTAAATGTTTCTTATTATTACAAGTTCATCCTTTCTTTCCTCCCACCACGTTTGTATTAAACCCAAGGTTGTCTACCTCTAAGCTACATCCCCAGCCCTTTTTATTTTTTTATTTTGACACAGGATCTTGTTAAACGGTTGAGCCTGACCTTGAACTTCTGCCTCAGCCTTCTGAGTTGTTGGGCTTATAGTTGTGTACCACCATGCCTGGCTTGTTACATGTGATTTCTAAATTGTGTAGAATGAATAGATAATAGACACAAGAAAGAGAACTGCTCATGCACTCACAGTCTATTGTCTTGTACAATAAAGATATATATTAATGTGATTTAAAAAATATTTACTGATTGGTTGATGGGATTACAGATTTGCATTGGATACATTCACAATATGTGAGGGGGTGGGGGGGGGGAAGGGAAGAATAGGAGACAATTTTGTAAAATTCTCCAGTAATTGTACTTTTTATTCTTTGGTTCTGTCTACATAAAGAGGGGACTGGATGTAAGTTTATTAATGCTCTCTCTAGTTCTTTGTCCATGTTTAATGGTAACTTATCTAATTGAGACACATGGAAACCATCTTCCAGGTTTTCTGTGGTTTTTGGGCAGTCGTTCATGGCTTACTCACTGTCTGTCCTGTTTCCTTTTTAATCACTTATTTTTTTCCCCCTCTTGTGAAAGTGATTATGATGAGATCTTGGAGGGGAAAATGTGTTACAGTATATTAGGTAGGGATGGGCACAGTGATTGTATTACTAGTGTGACTCATCAAAGAAAATGCTTTGGGAATCAGCCAGACTGATGGCTGAAGAAGACAAAATCCATTCAGCATTGTTGGTGAAAGCCAGGTTTTCCTCTGCACTGGGTTGTTTAGAGTATTTTCCCCCAAAGTACACATCCCCATATTTTATTTTTTT